TTTAGCTATACAAAAAAGTCACACTGCTAGCAGTTCTAACATTTATCTATACAAGCATAGCACAATGTTAACAGTGCTAGCTAGCACTGCTAACACAATATTTATACAAACAAGTCACACAGCTAACATTTTATCTATGTAAACAAGTCACATTGCTAACAGTGCTAACAGCGCTAACGTTTTCCCTGTACTAATGAGTCACACTGCTAAAACTTCCTTGTTTTGATCAGTTTTGAGTCTCATTATGTTCATTTTTGTATCTTTGTGTCTGTTTTATGTCACCTTTGGCTTGTTGTGTGTGTCCTTGTGGTTGTTTTGCCGTCTGATTTTGTGTGTTTGTGGTGTTTTTGTGTCTCTTTTTGTTCATTTTGTGACTTTTAAACTCTGACTTCATCAATAAATCACTTCATACAGGGTCCCCTGACATTTTAAGTCCCTCATTCTGTGCACAGAGCGACTAAAAAATAAAAAAAAACAGGAGCTAATGAAAAAACAGAGTAATAAAATTAATTTATGGTTTTTGTGTCATCATGAAGTTTAGAACTGGAAACCATTCCAGTCAAACAACAACAACAACAACAACTACTGATGCCTCCCATCCAGCTGCAGCCGATCAAACAACCCAACAGACGCCTGATCAGGTTTACTGTTGGACCCACTGCTCGGCTACGGCTGGTTCGTTTTGCTTTCTGTCCTGTCAGGAGCTAAATGAATCCCAGTTCCATCAAACAGAGCGGATCAGCGCCTGCAACAACACTGTAAGAGTTAACGAAGCTCGGTGAGCAGGCCGACAGCAGCGTGAGAGAGGAACCGGCGGCCTGCAGTCAGAATGCGGTCGACAGTAAATCCATGATGTTTAATGAAATAACAGGAACCATGAGAGGCAGCTCGTCTCATGTGGAGCTCAGTGTTTGGGTGGAGAACACATCTGAACCACAGCTCAGCCTCAAACATTCCTCTGCTGGAAACTCCTCCGCCTGGCTTCCATTAAACCGGGCTGAACCGGGCTGAACCGGGCCGGCGCAGCACACGTCCTGCACCTCGCTGGACTGGACTGTGTGTCATTGTTTAGCATCAGTTACAAAAATGGATTTAATCTGATCTCCTGCAGCTGCTTCAAATTAAAAGCCCTTATCTGCAAACTACCGAGGCTTTTATTGTGAAGGAGCTTTTGACTTGGATGTATTTCTGCCTTCTTTTGTCTTCAAACTGTTTAAAATAAAACTGTTTTCTGATTCTTTTCGCCCCCAAGTATCACATCTGCGCCTTCAGCACTGTAGCGCCACCACCTGGAGGAGTGTTGATGCTACAAGGGTCTGAAAAATGAAGAACAAGCTGGTTTCAAAGCTCTGACGTCTGTTTCCATCACACTAGATCTTATCAAATCGTTACAAATAATCTTAAAGGGCACATGTCTTTTTGCTTTTTTTCCAACAGAGACACAAAACAGCTACAAAGAAACACAAAAGAAAAGAAATGGACACAAAACNTTAAATCCCAGCAGTACGGCTCGTTAGCGACTCTGCAGGCCTCAGTCTGACATCAGATCACGGCCCAGACTCGATCAACACAACAACGTGAATACAAACGCTCTGATTTCACTCCAACCAGCAGTCCTCCACCTCGCTCATCCCCAAACTTCTCCCCGAGTCTCAGCTGGTCCTCCGTCATCATCACACCCCCTCCAGTGAATGTATTGTTCTAATTTTCACTCTCCCACATTCCAGCAGCAGCAGCAGCAGCAGCTCCCATCAGCTCAGTGAATAAACAGTAAATCATCCAGACTGGGAGGAGCTCTTCCTCCTCCTCCTCCTCCTCCTCCTGCTGCTCTTTCAACACATTATTTTCCCATGAATACTGCTGAATAATGTTCTTTAATTTAAAGCTCGGGCAGGCTGCACCGGCCCAACTCCTCACAACAAGCACTGCGCCAACTAAACTTCTTGCACAAGTGATGCATCACCGGGGTGGAGGTTCATTCATCTGATGAGCTGCTGCATGGAAACCAGACCTACAGGTTGTTTTGTGCAATTATTCACGCTTAATCACTAAAACCAGCAATTATCACCAACCCAGTCAGCAGTTCAGCAAGCAGTCTCACCAATGCCAAGCTACAAGCAGCATTTTTAGCGAGTTATCTCCAACATAATCACTTTAAAAAACGGATTCCATCGCATTCTACCTCGTTCCACCTTGCAGCATCACACCAAACTCCGTTCATAAATTTACCACTTTAAACTTCATTTCCTCCCATGCGCACGTACACTCGCTGAACAATATGCATCAATTACTTTTATAAACCCACACGGACCGGTCTTCAAATCGGCTATAATTAAAACCACCGGAAGCGCTTCATCAGTCAGTACAATGAGAATATAGACGTCTTAGTGAACTGGTCCGCCTGTTGTTCCCGGTGGTACAGACCAGCAGGAACCGACGCCAGGAGTTGGGATTTCATCAAAACCAGATGAAGTCTGGTGTGGAAGCCGTGTGCCTAAATCCACCAGACCGCACAAGGCCGAACCGTACCCGAACACACGCAGAAGCAGCCGACTGAAGCGGCTGCTTTCTGAGCGGAGTCCGGACGGGGCTCACTCCGGGGCGACATTACATCACTTCCAGCAAACTTCACGGAGAACAATGAGGGCAGAGCGGCATCGGTGGCCCGTTCTAACCCGGTACCGTCTCATGCAGCCGGGCCAAACGCGCAGAAACAACCGAGGGGATGTGCAACTACAGCCCGCCTGCGTATCGGTTACTGCCGAGCCGAGCCGAGCCCGTCCGTAGCCGGTACCGACGGCGTAGTGTCCCCTCCGGCTAGCGCCGCCGGAGGAGAGTTAACGGCTGCTGGCGTTTGAAGCGTCACGGCGGGCAGGAAAAGAGCCGCGCGGAGGCGGGAGAGGAGCTCACCTGTGGCCCGGAGCGGAGGAGCTGCGGAGGCGCCGCCGGTTCGTCCCGAGAAGCGGCGGTTTATTGTGTTTAAAGCGGCCGCACGAGGGGGAGGAGCCACTACCTGCAGCACGGGGGCGCGAGCACCAGCGCGTGCGCCGACCGGAGCACGTGAGCGTGTTTGGATGCGGAGCGCGTGCGTGTGTGTGTG